CTGCTCGAGCTGAGCATATAAAACAAGTTCAACAAACAAACAGACAGGTAATGTTCTTCTATTGCATGAAATCTTTAAATTGATCAAGAAAGATACTTCTTTATAGTACACTTTAACAGAGCTTACCCCTGCGGTTTTCGATTTTATCCGGTAACTTACTCGAGTCCGCGGTATTGTTCCTGTCACAGAGAAATCCACACAAATATTAGACCTGTGAACTCAATTGAGACACTAAATTTTATCCTTAAACAGCTAAGAAACTTACAGGTAAAAGATGAAGAGTCTGTTGACGTTGTTTCAAATCAAATGGGTGCAGCACAAGTGGTTCTGAAATGACCAGTCTGGTTACACCGGCTACAATGCACCACCCGCTTCACTCGTCCTCTATCTTCAGCTCGAACCCGTCTCTTTCTCGGCCTACCAGGCGGTCTCAGCGACTTTGGCGGGTTTATAATAGCCTCAAGAGCGGCTTTATTCACATTTGGATCTCCGTCAGAAAGCTCTCTCCAAAGACTTTTATCTGGAATCGGATGAATCGTCTGCGAATAAGTCTTCCTATATGTAGCCACAGTAAAACAGCTCTCAGTGAACCTGTGAACATTCTGTCTGCAAGAAAGAAGAGCTGCCACGGCGTGTGCACAAGGTAAACCGTATAACTGCCAACCCCGGCAAAGACAACACCGGTTCCTAATATCCACAATGTTGTTTCCTTCATGAGATATAACTTCAAACTCCGCTTCATTGGCTCGAAGCACCTGATAGGTTCTTGCAAGCTCAAGAGCCTCGGCTACACGCCGCTCAGCAGTTGGGACAAGTATAGAAGTCCATTGCATACTGGTTTCGCGCCGTTCATTGAACCAAGTCATTAACTGTCTCCTAATGCATTCCATCATTTGAATGATTGGAAGTCCAGATGCTTCAGCAATCCACGAGTTTAAAGATTCGATAATATTTGCGGTTAAATGTCCAAACCGTTGTCCTTCGAAATATGCGGTAGCCCATAACCGAGGAGGGATACGCCGGATCCAGAATGCTGCATCTTGAGAAACCTCTTCGATTTCAAGTATTTTGGCTTCAAACTCGATAACAGTTAGAGCTTGAGCCGCTTCCCACAGATAATTGACTAACATTGTGTTGTTAAACTCCTTGCGGAAGCTTTCACTCAAGTGTCGCATACAAAATCCATGAAACGCAGTTGGGAAATTCTGTTCCACGCCTTCCACTATTCCCTTGTGTCTATCCGACAAAATCGTGAGCCTGGGCATGTTCTCGGTGTTGGTTTCAAGAAGATTATGAAGCTCACACAAA